CCAATTATTTGACAGACTTGTCTGATATTCCTGCTCAAAAGCTTGCTGAACTGAAAGGCCTGTGTCAGTTTGAAGTTGCTCCCTATTCACTGTCACTTGGCTATTCTTATTGGAGTGCAGGTCAGCAACGATTCTTTCAGAATAAGTTGAAAAATAAGACCTATTATCTTTTTGCAGTTCCTGATATTGTATGTCTTCTGTCTTGCAATACTGCAATCCGTTCTACTTGAAAAAGCGCGGAGGCTTGTTCCCAATGTATTTATCCGCTTCTCTCTCTCTTATTCATCTCTGTATGCTTTTTCTTGAAATCATGCGAATTTTTTTGAAGTGATACTATTACAAATGTTGCTTGCCTGAAAATAAAGTGTGAGAAATATAGGAAAAGATTTACGGTGCCACGAGTCCTGATGTGCGAAACTACCATATGATTTCTCTTTTTCAGTAGACATGATGTGCGAACTACTATATAGTTTCTCTTTTTCAGTAGACATGATGTGCAAAATTATGATTAAGATGATGAATGTAGACATTATGTGGAACTACTAAACCTGCTATGGTGCCATGAGTCATTGCTCAAGCTCAAACCCAACTGTGTTTGAACTGCTAAAATTGCTATGGTGCCATGAGTCTTTGCTCAAACTCATCCGTTTTATATCCAAATTTCTTCTTTTGCTCTAAATCATGTCTTACATAACATTCATAATAAGCATAAAGTGCTTAGGTTCAAACTTAAACACAAGTAAAGTATTTAAAATAGGAGGCAAAATGTAGCTTTCAACATATGTTTCTAGCCAAAAGCAGATAGTTATTTTGTTTGTTGTTGTATGTATCTCAAATATCTTAGAAGCTAATCTTCGCAGGCTTTGCCTTCCTGTATAGTGTGTAACAAAGCCGTGTAATATTATTTGAAAGCAGTGCTCCTTGAGTTCATACGTATACTATGTGTTTATTTTAGTACTTCTCAAATTCAATAATTAAGATTGAAATTGCTAGTTGGCTTATATTCTACCAATTGCTTTATAACTGCAACTTCATTGCAGATCATATATTAAAGCAGATTCTGCCATCTGGCCTTGATGTACCATCATCATTTGAGACAATAGTTAAGTATATTAATCCAACATTTTTCTCTCTTTATCTTTTCTATACTCTAAATAGATTATAGAGAATCTTGTGTGTGTGTCTCTTTTCCTTGACTAAATTTCTATGCTTCTTTATTTCAAAGTCTGAATTTTCAACACTGACCTTCCAGCCGAGTTCCCTAACGAATTGACTTGGTATTTGTGCAGGTCACATTGCTCATTTGAATATAACTGATGATCTTCTTCCTTACAAGGATGTGATTGCCAAAGTTATTTATGATGTATGCCTTCTAATTTATGGCCTCAATATGTGCATCTTCCATAAAAAAAGAAGAAGTCAAAAGTACAGTTGGTTTTCTTTCAAAATTCACCTTATAAATGAATCTCTGCATGTTTTCATTTGTAAGTTGTTTAGCATTTCATTTAACTTCTTCACCTTAAGTATTTTTGGACTAATTCATGAGAATGGGATATATCAATTTTCTTTTCCTAAACTAGGGTTCTTTCTTTCTGAATGAAATTGCTTTTCCTTAACATTATTTTTGGTGCCAGAGACTTGATTTTACTTGCATTAGAGCTAGACTGCCTCCTTCCATCTCCTTCACTTTATATGCAGGCATCCATGTGATGATATTTCTATCAATTTTTCACTTACTTTTAGTGAGAGTTTGCTACCCTGTTTCTTCCTTTCCTGAGTCACCAGTCTTCTTAATTTGAATATGGTATTCATTCCTGATCCATGCAGAAAAACTACCCCAGGATCCAGACAGTCGTAAATAAAGTTGGAACCATTACCAATGAATTTCGTGTGCCAAAATTTGAGATACTGGCTGGGAAAGATGATATGGTCACAGAAGTGAAGCAATATGGAGCAACTTTCAAGCTTGATTATAGCTTGGTGTATTGGAATTCTAGACTGGAACATGAGCATATAAGGCTGGTCTCAAAGTTCCAGGCAGGGGAGACCATATGTGATATGTTTGCTGGCATTGGTCCTTTTGCTATTCCCGCTGCACAGAAAGGATGTGCGGTTTATGCAAACGATTTGAATCCAGATAGCATTCATTATCTCAAAACGAATGCTGAAATCAGCAAGGTTGATCATCTAGTTTTCCCATACAATATGGATGCAAGGAAATTTATTTCTCAACTCGTTGCTGTACCCTGCAATGGAAGCAATGCAGAAGCTGAGATTGATTGCTCTGACAAATTCAGTGGCGAAGCACATAGGGAGAAACTATCTGAAGACTGTATGTGAAGTATTCAGTTATATACTCGTTATCATACCCTCAAAGCATCTCATCAATTAATCTGAACCACCCTTGCAGATGATGTCAAAGAAGTACCTGACGGAACTTCATGCAACACTGCTGGACTCGGAGGCTCATCTGTCATAGAAGATATGAATGTGACTTCTGTGAAAAGACGTGCGGAGAGTTCTCAAGAAGGTGGGGATATTAAAGAAATGATACACGCTCTAGTGTGCTTAGTTGGTTGAATATAATTTAGAAATAGTTATCTGTCTATCTGCGTCCAGATACTGAATTCAATGTTTTTGTGAATATCATGCTTTTGGGACACTTGAACAAAAGTAACTAAATTTGTTCATTTGGTGAATTAGAGGGAGAAAGGAGATCTGCAGTCAATGATGGTGTTTGTGTTGCTGGTAGAAGAAAAAGGGGTCCAAATAAGAGAGTGAAGGGTTCTGAGTCATTGAACACAAAACCCTCGGAGCATGTGGACCATGTGATCATGAACCTACCAGCTTCTGCTCTGGAGTTTCTTGGTAAATCTACTATGACCATATCTCCCTTCAACATCATGTCTTTGAACTGAGGTCAACATTATATGCTTGTCAGCTGTCTTTATCCAAGTTTATTGGATGTCTCTTTCTAATAAAATACTATATGTAGATCATAGTGCAAGAATCCAATACAATTTTGACAGGGTTTTAAGCATAAGTGGTAGTAATTTGACCTTGTGTCTTAATTTTAGAATCCAACCAATTTTGCAAACCGACATAATAGGGAAATGTATAAGTTTGCTTCTAACAGCACCAACTTTAGGTCAAAGTCTTGCAAAATGTTCACTTTTTGGAGATAGGTCATTGAACTGGTGCTCAAATGTCAGAAACGATCTTGATCTCTGTAACAAAAAGGGGAAGTAAAAAGTATTTCAAACTATATACATTTGCTGTTCATCAGTTCATTCCGTGATGCATTTACCATGTTAATGAAGGTAATATAGTTTGTGATGCTAACTGTGTCAGTCAAATCCATTTGTTGTACTTAGCATGCTCTATTTCAACTAAGTTACACACTATGATAAAAATAGAACTGATATTACTCTAAACCCTGTAGCAGGTTATAGCTGTGTTTTATGGGTGATTTTTCTGTTTAGTACCTTGTGTTTTCTGGAGTTCGTGATCTTTTAAAACCTGTTAAACAGAACTTCTTGTCTTTCATCAGGCACTGATATTTGCTAACGTATTTTTATACCAAGGCAATTGATAGTTTCTTTTCTTTCCCTAGATGCCTTTAGAGGCCTTATTAGAAGGAGATACTGGAAGGGATCTCTACCCTGGATTCACTGCTATTGCTTCATACGAGCAAGTGAAACAGAAGACTACATTATCTCGGTAATACCTAGTTCAACAGCTAGTTTGTTCTATTTCGACTTTCCATATCAGTTTGACAGGGTTACTCATGCTTAAAAGCAGCATCTGAAATCAGAGTTGGTGGCATGTCTCTTTCTCTCTTAATTTTCAGTTAGGATAATAAATGAAGTCAAGTGACTATCATCATTTTTAAACCAAAACCTTTTCAATTTTGGGGCGGATGAAAGCCATTCTCTTACATTTTCAATTTGCTGACCACCACAGGATTATTTGAAATCTACCCAGTGTCGGTGATAATATTATGAAACAAGTGCATGACAGAAACAATGATGTGCAATTTTAGTAGCAAAACCAAAATATCCAAGTTCCCTGGGCATGTCAATGAGTTAGTAAATTACAGGTGTAGATATATAATTTGTGGTTGTTGATGATTTATGCACTTGGTTTTATTGTTTACCATGTCCTTGAATAACTAGATTAGCTAAATCCGTGAAGCATGCTGTAGCTTGCATAGTATTCAGTATCTCGACATAGTGTATCACAGGTCAAGTTGATTATTAATGCTCTCAGTTATTACTTTACTAGGCCATCTGGTCCTACTAGTGTTACTAAATCTACCTTCAACGTACTTATTCCCATCTTATATTTACTTCGGCTAGTCTACATTCTATTGTATGGTCTTCTCAATTTGTTGACTTGCAGGTGGCCGAGTCTGCCCTAGGAGCCAAAGTCCAAAACCCTGTATTTCACAGGGTTAGAGATGTTGCTCCAAATAAGGTACACGTTTGATAGACGACTCCACTTTTTTGGAGCGTCAGCATTCATTTTGTTAACTTTTTATGGGTATATTCTTGTGCGTTTATGCCCCTGAGCTATTCTATTTCATATCTTATGCAGGCTATGTTTTGTTTAAGCTTCAGATTACCAGAAGAAACATGCACTGATGACTAGGGTAAACAACGATACTCTTCAAGGCGAGAATCATGAAAACCAAATGAATCTTCATAGCTGGATTCCTGTAAACTGGAATATATTTTTTTTTGTAAAATACTAAACCTTTAAAGTGTTATCCTATGAAATCCATCTTTTATACTTCTTGCAATAGAAGTCTGAGAGTGAACTCAGCCCCTCTTATGACGTTGGTATCGGAACTTGAGCTGACGTTATATGTGCAAGGGAAGTCACCAACCTCCATGATAGTTATCGTTTATGGACAACACAGTCAATACTTGTGGATGTTGACGGAGGAATTATATCTTTTGCAAGATGTATATCTGCTTGAATAGGAATTGCACCAGAGTCTTGAACCAACTTTTTCTTGAAAATCAAAAGCTACAAAAAGCTTGTAACTTTTGATGAAAAAGCAAGTGTAAACAACAATGAGAAAAGGTTGCATAAACCTTGAAACACGTAGATTTTGGTTGGAAAGCAGGGTACTGTCGATGATTCTTTTCAATATCCTTATAGAAATGAGTCAATTACCTCTTCAACTTTTTCTGGGGTCATATCTTTTCTCTAAACTTTATTTTATTTTGCCCCACTAAGTCACACATTTGTCATCATTTTATGTTAAAAAAAACACACCAGGTGATCGATTCTTATCATCTGTCCTAGTCTTGGTGGATACAATTATCCGATAATTGTTGCTGGTGGGATGTGACAGGTGATCGATTTTTCTCATATGTCCTAGTCTTGATGGATACAGTTATTCGATAATTGTTGCTGGTAGGATGTGACAGGCGATCGATTCTTCTCATCTGTCCTAGTCCTTATTGTTGACGCTTGCTTATGACTCAAGTATGCTAAATTCCACTTTGATTGTTATAGGAAATAATACATTATACAAAGCAAAATATAAAACTGAACAAAGCACATAAGCAAAGACTAACAAACTAAAGTTTTGAATGATATAATCTTCATTGATATAAAGTTTAGATTCTTATCAAATTCTTCTCTTTCCCCTCCATTGTCCCTCCAAAAAAGGAAAAAAGTAATATAAAATACTACTATAAAAAGAAAAAGAAGTATATTTTTCAATCTTACAACTTTTGGAAGTGTAAGATGGCTTTTTCCCCTGGCTACTAATTTAGATATGGATTTTCTGTCATAACATCTTGTCATTCTCTTATCTTGCTTCTGTCTTCTCTTTTCATCCTTCTCATTGGTCTTTCTTCACTAAGAACGTCTCGAGAGATCTTCATCCTCATAAGTAAATGATGACGATGATGAGTGGTGTAGTTTGTAGGCATATATTGATACTTGGAATTGTAACTTTAGTGTTTATAACAATGGCGCGGAGATGTTTGAGTGTGGGAGTGAACTGGGGTACTATGGCATCTCATCAGTTAGCAGCAGAGAGTGTAGTGAAGATGCTTAAAGAAAATGGATTTGATAAAGTGAAATTATTTGAAGCAGATGACAAGATTTTGAGTGCTTTAATAGGTAGTGATATTGAAGTGATGCTTGCAATTCCTAATTATATGTTACAAGATATGAGTACTGACCCTGGAATGGCAGCTTCTTGGATTGATGCTAATGTTTCTGCTTATGCTTACACTCATGGAGTCAAAATCAGGTTAATTTAAGTCCCAACATATGTTTCACTTCTTGCATGGAGATATATACTCAATTTTTTTTACTTTCTTTAGAGTCTGGTTCACGTGAACCCATGGACCCCTCGCATGACTTGTCCTCTTCTTAGTTGTTTTCATCACGTGAACCTAAAAGTACAAAAATATGTAACTAATATCGTTTACTTCAAAAACAATTACTCCCTCTGTCACATTTTATGTGACACTTTTCGTTTTTCAAGAGTCAAATAGTTCAACTTTGGCCGGACATTTGCGTATGGAATCTTCAAATTTTTTTGAAAATGAAATTTATATATTTGTAAACTACGTAAAGAGTACTATAAGTCACAATAATTAATAATTCAAAATGTTAAAAGGATCTATGAAAAACTTACGGTCAAAGATAGACTTGTTTGAATCTCGAAAAAGTAATATTAAGGGTAAAATGACGCTTTGGGTTGATTGTTCTGAAAAAACTCTATGATGACAACTGTAATGAGTTGGAAGAACATTACGTATAGCTTCACCATTTATTGTGGCATACTTTTACACTTAGGAGCCAACTTGCAGGAATTAGACTACTCTTTTGATTTTTGTGTGTGTTAGCCCATGAATATTGATAAAATTTTAGATATGCCCTCGGCCAACCAACTGACCTCCTCGCGATTTTTTTTGTTAATAATGCAGGTATGTAGCAGTAGGAAATGAGCCTTTTCTTCAAACATACAATGGAACTTATCTACATTCCACTTTTCCAGCTCTGAGAAATGTTCAAGAAGCTATCAACCATGCTGGATTAGGGCCAGAGGTGAAAGCAGTTGTTCCTTTAAACGCGGACATTTACTACTCCCCTGACTCGAATCCTTTCCCTTCAGCAGGCGATTTCAGGCCAGAGATACGCGATTTAGCCATTCAAATTGTTCAATATCTCGACTCAAATGATGCTCCTTTCGTGGTAAACATTTACCCTTTCCTCAGTCTCTATGCAAACAATTACTTCCCATTCGAGTATGCCTTCTTTAATGGTTCAAACAAGCCTATGAAAGATGGCGATTGTGTTTACACCAACGTGTTTGATGCCAATTTCGATACTCTTGCTTGGTCTTTGAAGAAAGCTGGATTTCCCAACATGAAAATCATAGTCGGAGAAGTAGGATGGCCAACAGATGGAGACAAACACGCGAATATTGAAAATGCAAAGAGATTCAACCAAGGGTTGATTCAACATGCTTTGAGTGGAGAAGGAACCCCTACAAGGAAGGGGAAAATTGACGTTTACTTGTTCAGCTTGATTGATGAGAATACTAAAAGCATTGCTCCTGGTAACTTTGAGAGGCATTGGGGAATCTTCGAGTTTGATGGTAAGCCTAAATATGAGCTAGCTATAGGCTTATCTGAAAAACCACTCGCTGCAGTAGAAGGCGTAACATATATGCATAAAAGATGGTGTGTACTGAAGCCACACTTACCAAAAGATGCACAAATTTACCTGGCAAAGAGTGTTGAATACGCGTGTAGTCGTTCTGATTGTACTGCATTGAGCTATGGTTCTTCCTGTAATCATCTGAGTGAACAAGGAAATACTTCATATGCTTTCAATATGTATTATCAATTCAATAACCAGAACAGTTTGGACTGTGATTTTCAAGGCTTGGCTATGGTAACTCATAACGATCCATCCGACGACAAGTGCCATTTCCCTCTCATGGTTACTGATGGTCCTAAAGTTATGCTGTTGCACAAGAACTTACTCTACATCATACTGGCTGTTCTACAAGGATTTCTAGTAGTTTTGTTGCTTGTTTCTTAGATAAGTCATGATGATTTTGATGTAATTAACTAGTAGCAGAATATAGGTTCTTTTTTTTTTTTTACAGAATTGATATTCTAAGCATTCATATTTCTAACACCGTAAATATGACCCTTAACAGTTACTACTTCTTTTTGCATTTAGAGTAACATATTCCATGAGAGCTTGGAGTACCAAAGGTGAAATAATTTATTTTAGGGAAAATTAAACTTATACTACATAATTATTCATCATAGCTATAGTTTGATATAATTATCACTCGCGACTAACATTATACATTATCGAACTGATATACATATACAAATAACATTATACATTATCGAAAGATTGTAACTCTTTTTTCCATTTTTGCTTTACTATAAAGTTCATTGTAACGGTTATATTGCACTTTTGTGTTATATTTATCAAGAAGTAGGTGTCGACCAAGTCTAGATTAAACTCCCTTGAAATTTAATGAAGTTATTAATTAACTTTACCGTTCATTAAGAAATGTACAATCATTAAGAGTCTTTTGTGATGAAATAAGTTACAAATGGGCACCAATAATTCATTACATAATATTCTCTCTGTACAAATTTATATGATGTAGTATGACTAGGTTTTTTAAAAAAAAGAACGATTTTTAACGGTAGTTTAAAATAAGTCATAGATGTTTGTGTAGCTATAAATCATAAAATCGAAATTTTAAAGTTAAATTGTTATCAAAAAAGGTGCGACATTTTTTTTATCTTCCCATCATAATATCCCACAAGTTACGTCATAGTAAGGACAAAAACTAAAGACCAACTCATTAGCAAATTGTGCAATTAATCTAAGAAGATTGAACTTAAAGAAAAGGTGTTAATACATAAATAAAAAGATCACTGATTATCCAACAAAACATATCTATAGAACACTTTTTGTAAGTTCTTAAGTCATGGATTATCCAACACATTAATAAGTAAACAGGAATTAATAGCTTGTTCCTCTTCAATACTACAAAAAAGTTTTACTTTGGGAATAAGTGTCTTAGTCTTTCTCTTCCAGAAATGCAAGGGAAAAGTACCTAAGAGATAGAATTAAGCTTTGTATTCAAAGCTTTTGTTACCTTTTTGAGGAAAATGGTTGCTTACACAACAACGTCTACACGTTCAAACTCAATCAAGGACATGTTAATATCTTGCTCCACTGAGAAACTGGCTGGTGCACCAATTTCAATACGTCCAAATCTGTCAACAGCAAGTCTCATCGATCCTTTGAACATGTCAACTTTAGCTTTTGTCAGCACTAGTGTTGAACCGTCTTGAATTAAATCCACTAGACAAAAGACAATCCAAATTTAAGGCGTCTTCGATGAATAACTAAAGCAAATCTTGAATTCTATGCGAGGAAGTTGGAGTAAGACATGTCCCTAACAGTCTGATTAAAGTTGAAAAAAAAAAAAAGAAGTTCAAACTGAATTACAGAACTTGAGCAATGGACAAGGACAAAAAGAGAATAGTTGAAAATCCTTGTAAATAAAGCAAATAACGATATCAAACAACAAACATTAAAGGCAATTAGAAAGAGCAAGTTCGGAAGTCAACAATCTTATAGACTTACCCTCTATCCTTCCATTCTTTTCTGGCTAAATTTTAGGGACTTATCAGTTCAAGTCATTTTCTGTGGATAAATTTAATAGACCAAGTTTCCTTGTCCTTTAATCATTTTCTTTCTATTTCATTTAACAGTGGAAATGCCAGGTAGCGTTTTTGAAATTAAAGAACTTAATCATGTCTATGTCACCTTGATGCTTCAACTAGGCAAGCATCTCGACATCAGAAATAAAACGATAAGGAAGTTCTCTGAGATCAGTGATGAATCTGGTAATTTAGATAACATTTATTGAAGCTCTTAAACATGACTAGCAGCCAGAATTACTATGATAATCGGCTAATAAGAGGAAAATTACAGTTAGAGAGGTAGGAATATTGAAGTATGTAAGAGATTTCATTAGCTCATACTTATGCGACTTGTCTGTTACTTAGGTTTAGGTAGTTGTCTTTTCTGTTTCTTCAGTACAACACTGTCTAGAAACCACTTTCCCAATACCAAATTTGAGAGAAAGAAAGTAAAACCAATTGAATTGTTTTAATAAGCATGGTGTCCGGGCCAACTTGCTTGCACCTCGACTAATTCCAAAGACCTTCCATCAATACAAGAACAAGTCATTCTCCGGCAAGGCTGGACAAATGGGAAGAAAGCACCTTATGTTTTTGCATCTGCTAGGATTTTGCACTTAGCAAGACATCGTATTGAAGTGAGGTGGCTGAAATGGAAGCTTGGAACCGGTATCTTGTGTGATAAGAATGTGTCACCGAGCCTTAAAGGTAAAGTTTTATGAAGTGGTAGTCAGACCAACTATGTTGTATGGCAGAGTGTTGGTCAGTCAAAAACTCGCATGACAAAAATATGAGATTAGCAAAAATGAGGATGTTGAGATGGATGTATGAGTATACTAGGTGAGATAGGATCAGTAACATTCAGCACAAGGTGGGAGTAGCCTTTGTAATGGACAAGATACAGGAGACGAGGCTGAGATGGTAGGGGTAAGGCTGCTTACACACCACCCTACCCAGATCCCACTTATGGGATTACCTCGGGTATGTTGTTGGGATTTTTGAACTTAATGCCGAAGCATGTAACTATCACAACACTCCAACATGCATCTACATTAAAACCTAAGTTTCTAGACTCGTATGTTTCCACTCATTCACTCTATTCCTATTACTCTCTCTTTGAGTTTGGCACAGATCTATAAGCTTTTAAAGCACATCATATTCCCCTTCCTAACGACACTTCGATTTATCTTTTTGGCAACTGACATGAGCTTTACAATCCGAGGACGAACTAAACAATTCAGTCCCTTCTCAGCATCCTACTCTTCCAAAAACACATCCACAAACCTTAAATGATAGACATTAAAGACTCAATATTTCCCAATCCAGAAGTTTTTCAATACATACAACAGAAGTCAAACTCATAACATCAACAAAAAACAGGAAAGTCATCAATATTAGTTTCCCTTTGACATCAATGCTGAAATCTTAATAACATAAATCCAATCCTAACAATAAAAACTCGATATCTACTCAATCCAAACACTAATTTCTTTCTTAATAACATCTGTAATCAGTGAGCAAAGTTCGAAATCAATCAAAACAAAATTACCTTGATCATTGCGGGCAGTAAAGATAATAATTCCAGTTTCATCACCAACCAAACATTCAGCAATACGATTTCTCTGTGCAATTAGCTTCTTACTAATCACCTTCACAGTTATATTAACCCCAAAATCTAACGGACGAAGCTGATTCACTTTTTTAGATCCCACTTTCTGCTTCTTCTGCTCTGCCATTCTTACCTGCGATTTCTAAAAACCCATTCGATTCACAGAAAAAAAAAATTGACAAATTTTTTCAGATTTAAGGCAGATATAGTACAGTGCGAGAGAGAAAAAAGGAAACCTGAAATTCGATTTCGCCGGAGAAAGAGATCGCCGGGAGATTCGCCGGTCAATGGAGATTTTGTTCAACTCAAGTTGAAACAAAAGGAAATTATAAAAGTTTTTTGGGGAAAAATTATAAATTGGATATATATATTATTACTTAAATAATAATATTATATTACCTAATTTATAAATTATTATACTCTTATCGAAAATACTAATTTATAAATTAGGTATAATGCATTTTTAACATTGCTAATAGGAGAGAAAAATAAAGGACAATTGTAATATATTTTTAATTCAATATATCATGCATATTATAGACATTTTTAATGTATATCGGGAATATATTATAAAAATATTTATAATACAAATCTATTACAAGTATTAGATGTGAATTTTCAAATATTCAAGCACAATTTAGATCAGTTTACGATGTTATAAATATATTATATTTGTTGTAAAATAATAACAATCAAATTTATAATAACGTATAGTATTAAATTTAAATTGTATTACAACTATAGTTTATATTTGATAATTTGATACACTTATAATACAACTATATTGATACACTTAAAATACAACTATATATATAAAAAAACTTTCCAAAATTTCACCTAATGAATCATCACCATCAAACGTTCTGAATTACTAATAGATAATACTTTCTCCGTCACTATTTACTTCTCAAATATTTTACGTTTTGAATTACCAATAACTAATACTCTCTCTGTTACTATTTACTTCTCAAATATATTTAAATTTGATTTCTAATTTTTTACTTGTCTTTTTAGGTGATTTGTATAAATAGAATTTTTCGCTACCACTATTTTAGAATAAAAAATAATTATCTTACAAGAATCGGCAACAAGTGTCACATAAAATTTCATGAATATATACCTGATATACAAAGAGATACACACATACATTGTCTTTCGTATTAACTTTTAACATATTAATAAATTATAAGTAAGATATTAAAACAAAATTGGACTAGACCTAATGATCATCTTCTTGCATATATATAGATAACATACACACACAAAAAAAAAACAAAAAAACTAAAGAATATTTTACATGATTTTTTCTAATAAGAAGAATGAGAATTAATACACTTATTTGTAGAATTTAAAAGGTATGTATATGCAAAAGTTGCATGAATTGCTGCTCCAATTGGAAGAACATCTTCATCAATGAAGAAATTTGGATTATGTGGAGGATAAATTGCACCAATCTTTTCATTTTTTGTTCCCAAAAAGAACAACGATCCAGGGATATTCTCTAAAAACACAGCAAAATCTTCGCTTCCCATAAAACTAGATGCTAACTTATAGTTTTCTTCTCCAACGATCATTTTCGATACTTTTCGAGCATGTTTATATATTTTCTCATTGTTTATAGTTGGAGGAACTGTTGGATTTTCACGACCATCAAAGTCAATCTCCACCGTACATCTATGTACAGCTGCTTGTGCTCGTACGATCTGAAAATGTTCATCAATTTTAAAATATAAATTTATCATCGAATACAAAATTTTTGAAGTTCGAAATTTGAGGCATTAGATAAATTAAAGAAAGATCAAATGTTAAGATAAAGTAATCCTAGTTTGACATTTCACATCCTTAGAGTTGGTGTAAATATGTATATTTGATAAAAAGAGAAATATACATTTAAAACTTATAACTTTTGATCATGAAATTAAGTAGAAATAAAAAGCAATCATTCATCGAGGTGAAATAGAAAACTTAAAAATAAATTATCAACGGATACTAAAAAGAAAAATATGTCATATAAATTGAGTCAGATAGTTAATTACCTCTTCGATTCTTTTCCTCAAACCATAGAAACTCTCTTTACTAAATGCTCTATAAGTCCCAGAAATTGTAGCTGAATCTGGTATTACATTAAATGAGGACCCCCCTTGAATCATAGCCACAGAAACAACCTACAAAAATTACAAAAACTCTTTGTTATCCTCAAAAAATAATTTGAAAATGAAGCTAACATTTAATCGTTGATTTTCTAAAATATTATATATATATATATATATATATATATATATATATATATATAGATATAGATATAGATAGATATACAGCCATAAAATTTAATCAGGTACTGAAAATCTAATTTTTAAATAGTTTTAAGTTTCCCATACCAGTTTATAGGATTTTCACTCAGAAAAACTCAAATTTCCAAATTTAAATTTTAACTTTTAAAATCTATGACGAATATATAATTTATCTATAAATATCTGTTTGTCCATAAAATTCAATCTGATACTAAAAATCTAATGTTCAAATATTATTAAGTTTCCACACCAGTTTATCGAATTTTCACTAAGAAAAACTCAATTTTTCAAATTTTGATGTTTCAACTTCAATACCTATAACGAAATATAAGTAAAATACAACTTATCTGCCCATATCTGTATGGCCATAAAATTTGATCAGATACTAAAAATTTAATCTTCAAATATTTCTAAGTTCCCGTACCAGCTTTTGGTATTTTCACTCAGAAAAATTCAAATTTTCCAATTTTAACTTCAAAATCTATGACGAAATGTGCGTGAAATATAAATTATATGTTAAGACATAAAGAAGATCTAATTATTAAATAATTTCCAAATTTCCAGTCCAGTTTTTAATACTTCCACTCACTAAATATCATATTCCAACAATCATAACCTCCAAAACTCAAATTTTCAATTTTCTTAAGTTTCAAACTTCAAAATCTACGACCAAACGTAAACACGAAATATAACTAAATAGTATTAATTACCTGAGATTCAAGAGGATCAGCCTCTCTTGACACAATACTTTGCAAACTAATAACAGAAGTAGAAGCAGCCAAAATAGGATCAACAGTATCTTGTGGTATAGCAGCATGTCCACCTTTGCCTCTAATTGTTGCTTTAAAACTTCCACATCCAGCTAAAAATTCACCAGCCCTAGATGCAACTATACCACTTGAATATTTATGTACTAAATGCAAACCAAATATGGCTTCTACATTTTCAAGAACACCTTCATCTATCATATCTTTAGCCCCGTGCCCTCGTTCCTCCGCGGGTTGAAAAATTAACACAACTGTACCCTGTATATAGGCATGAACAAACGATGAATTCTATTAGTACTCTAACGAAAATTTAGGCCTTTAGATGAAGGTTTTTATAGTTACACTAAAAGAAAACTGTAAATTACATAGGAACTTTTTTGATAATTAGTATAAAAATTTTTTATACTAATCCCCAAGAAAATCTTCAGATAATTCACGGTTTTTTTTATAGCGTCAGTTACCTGTAAATTGTGTTGGAGTTGTTGTAATATTTTAGCAGCACCAAGAAGCATAGTGGTATGTGCATCATGAGCACAAGCATGCATTTTGCCATCAATTTTACTCTTGTGTTCCCAGTTTGATAATTCCTATAAGTAGATAACAGTCAAATCTCTTTATAATAGATATCTTTCATATTGTTATAGCGCAATGTTATTACAGAAAACATGAAATTATATGGAAAAACAGTTCAAAAAATCAACAAACGTACTAGCTAGGCGGTTATAATGAGATGATTTTATATGTTATAGAAAAGTCTGAGTATATTTCTTGATGTTCAAAAAAAAAGTATTAGCAATGTAATTTTGATCAAAAGTATTAGCAATTTAATTTTTATATGGGAAAATACACAAATAGCTCTCTTAACTATGACTAAAACTTCAGAGACATATCTTCACTAAACTAAGGTTTTATTATCTTTCTGAACTTTTTTTTTGTTGGTAATTTTATACATCTTTTGTCTTACGTGACATACTTTGTGACTCCACGCAATTGAGGCACATGAGAGATATTTGAATACCACGTAAATAAAAAAAATGCACAAAATTACAAAAAAATAAGTTCGAGAGGTACTAGAACATTAAAATAGTTAAAGTATGTCTCTAAAATTTCGATCATAATCTAGAAAGGTACTTGTATATTTTTTGCTATAAATAGTTTAAAAATTTAACTCATATAAACATTAATACTGATGATACATATAATTTAAACTCATACTTAAATAACAAAGAAAACTTATTCTTTTCACGTGATACAAAGAAAAAAGAGGTATTAATATTCAAAATATGTCCTACGTACTTAGGTTGATTAATGAATGTGGTCGAAAAATAAAATAAAATAAGGTTTGACTCATAAATTCCATTCATGGCTGAGATGATGCCGCCACTAATTAGTGCGCCGTTTCTTTTTATTTGTCATAATTAATTCAATTTAGTAAATTTTAATTACTTTTTTAAACATATATTTTTCCTTATATTAATATAAGAGAAACTATACTTTATACTAGTTTTACAAGATTTGAATATATAAGTTTTAATTTTAAAAGTAAATCAAATGATAAAACATGATAACTATTTTAAAATGGAATAAATATTACTGCTTGTTTTTTAATTTTCTTGCCTACAAAATTATCTTAGATTTAGTTCAAAAATTTCAAAGGACAATAAATTGTACAAGTCGAACTAAACAGGTCAATGATGAAAGTAATTTTCACGAATTATGAACAAAAGGATGTACTTATCTCCTTCTCCGCAATTATCGTTCCTCTACCGTCAAATCTTTTTATAATAATATTTTCAATCAAACACATAATATGAAAATTTCAAAAAAAAAACTTAAATGAAACTATAAGAACATTAAAAACAATTACTAACCTGAATAGGCAAAGCATCCATATCAGCTCTCAGAGCAACAAACGGCGGCTTACCGGAGCCGATGGCGGCAACGACACCGGTTTTAGCCACCGGCCACCGGTATTTAACTCCCATCCGATCAAGTTCCTCTCTAATCAAAGCACTTGTCATAAATTCTTCATAAGCAAGTTCCGGATTCTCGTGAATTTGTCTCCTTATTTTCTTCATCCATTTCACTGTCTCAGTATCATTCGCTAAATTTATAATATAATCTTTCGCGAAAATATTTTGATCAATCAAAAATGGATTCAAACATTCTTCTTCGCGCCCCGAAGAAAAAAACATGAACATAGAAAACATCACCGAGACCAAAACTTTCTTAGTACCCATAATTTATGAAAAATTTATCAAGAAAATTTGTGGGTATTTTTTATTTGTTGGTTTCAAATCGACCTACGATGGGACTATAT